ACTTACTTTCCAGCTCCACCCTCCACCAGGATAACCCTTCACATCTTCCAAGTCCCTTCAGAAAATATCTTCCATTGTCCAACCTGTAGTTTATAGTGATATCTCATCTATTAGTCTGGGGTCTGAACCATGCCAGGCACTCAGGGAATATTGTTTGAATTTGCTCTTGATTATAAGAAAGTTGAATAGCTGAGTGGAAGCAGCATAGGGCCTGGAGAAAGGAGAAGGATGAGTCAGTGATAGCATCTAGTTCTGACAGAGAGAGAAAAGGCTCCATAAGTTGAAGATCAGTAAACCATGTTTTAATTTTAAGTGTGAGATGGTGCTAAGTTATTCAAATGGACATATTCAATAGTAGATGAAATATGGAGCTAGAGCGTTCATTGCAAATATATAGAAGAGCTGCTGGGTTCCAGTTTCCCAAGAGTGGTCCTGTAAACACAAAAGTACTGATCATCCATTACCTGATGTTGTTGAGATCCTACTATGGCCAGAGAACTTAATTTAATTCTCAGTATATGTCTATAGGTTACAAACATTTTACCAGTCAGGAAATAGAAGCTCAAGGAAGTTAAGTAATTTGTTCAAGGTCATAAAACTAGAACAATAAAACAATTCAAACTAAAATACTACCAATTTCTTGACATTGCCTCTCTATAATTTATCATCCTTGCTCTCAGAAGCTGACACAAAAATGACACAAAACAATTCAGTAATAATATCTAGTCATAAGGACATGCTAGACTTATCTTAGGCTGAAAAAAAACCAAAGGAAAAAAATCATAACATATGCTACAGTACTTGAAGGTTTCCATGGACGCATTTTGAATACCATAGGAAGCATTAAAAGAAGATGGAAGTAATGTATGGATTCAATGAGCCAAAATAATTGGCTAATACTCAGCCATTTCAGGAGATAGCATATGATCAGCAAGCAATGGTACTGGAGGAAGAAATTGAAGCTGAGCTGAAAATACTGGTTAAAAACAAGGATCCAGTAACAAGAGGAATTCTAAATAAATGTTTCAATAAATGGTTATAACCCTGTATGTACTCACTTACCTATTTTAAGACATTTGGAAGACAGCTTTCTGGCCAAATGCTTGAAAGGAATCCATATTGTCCCCATCCCAAACAAAGATTATCCAACAGAATGTGTGGATCACAACACACTGTGGCTAACATTGAAGAGTGGGAATCCCAGGACAATTGATTATGCTTACGTGGAACCTATACTTGGACCAAAACAACGACAACAACCAAGAGAGAGCTATGTTGGCCTAGTGGAAAGGAAGCTATGCTACCAAGCCAAAGGTGGGTGATTTTCATCTTTGGCCCTTGGCCAGGTTCAAATTGTCTTCCTGTCAAACTCGTGGTTGCTGTGATGCTAAAGACTGTGACAGTGATGTGCCAATCATGGTAATGGGTACCCGTGGTGGACAGTGTTGGCTGGAGCTTCCCGACTAAATCAAGCCTGGAAGCAGGAGCAGCATCCACTTCTGAAATGACTTGCTTCTGGAAACTCTATGTACCAAGAGTGCTCAGGCTGTTCATTCATAGAGTCGCTATGAGTTGTCTATGACTCGACGGCATCAAACAACAACAACAACAACAACATACTTGGACCAGGAAGCAGCCATCAGAACACAGAAAGTAAGCAATGGTTTCAAAATCAGGAATGGGATATGCCAGGAATGCATCCTGTCTCCATATCTTTTCAATCTATATGTGTAAAAATTCATCCAGGAAGCTGGGCTCTATGAGGAGGAAAGCGGAGTCAGGATTGGAGGACGATTCATCAACAACGTACATTATGCAGATGACACAACCTTGCTTGATGAAACTGTAGAGGATCTGAGGAATTTGCTACAGAAGGTCAAGGACTGAAGCTTTAAATATGGATTGAAGCTCAACATCCAGAAAACAATTATTTTCACCACTGGGACAATTTGCAGCATCATGACAGATGATAGATGGTAAAGAAAAAGTGATGTCTTTGAGTTGTGGTGCTGGAGAAAAGTATTGAATATACTACGAGAACAAACAGGTTTGCTTTGGAGAGGGTGAAATCAGGCTGCTCCTTGGAGGCAAGGATTTTGAAGCTCTGTCTGATATACTTCGAGCATGTTGCAAGGAGGGACCAGTCCTTGGCAGGATGGGGAACAGTGCAATAAAGGAAGACCCTGGATGAGATGGATTGACTCAGTGACTGGGATAGTGAGGGTAAGTGTGTCAGAGACAATGAGGTTGGCTCAGGATAGAGCAGGGTTCATAGTTGTAGACAGGGTCACTATGAGTCACAAGCAACTTGATGGCACATAACAACAACATCATTAATATCATACAGCAGTAATATCTTGCTGATAATTTAAAAAAACAGTTCTAACAGTATATCTACAGAGAACTGCCAGAAATTCAAGTTGGATTCAAAAAAGGACATTGAATGGGAGATAACATTGCTGATAATGTGAGTCTTGGCTGCAAGAAAACAGTATCAGGAAGATGATTACTTGTATTTTATACACCATGTAGAAGCATTTGATTTGACTGTGTGATCATGACAAATTATAACATTATCATCAATGTCAGATGGATCTTGGCAGAAAGAGTACCAGAGGAATGTCTATCACTGTTTCATTGACTACGCAAAGGCATTTGACTGTGCAGATCAAAACAAATTATGGCTAACCTTGAGTGGGACTCTCAGAACACTTGATTGTGCTTATGTGAAATCTATACTTGTACCAAAAAGCAGTCCTCAGAATAGAGCAAGGAAACAGTGCATGGTTCAAAATCAGGAAAGAATTGTCACAGATGCATCTTATCTCCATATCTTTTCAATCTATATGCAGAACAACAGATCATTTAGGAGGCTGAACTTTATAAGGAGGAATGGACATCAGGATTAAAGGAAAACTCATCAACAACCTACATTATGCAAATGACACAACCTTATTTGCTGAAACTGAGGAGGACCTGAAGTACTTGCTACAGAAGGTCAAGGACTGTAGTCTTCAATATAGCTCAAGATCACCACTGGGCCAATTGGCAGCACCATTATGGACAGAGAAGAGATTGGAGTTGTTAACAATTACAGCTTACTCTGCTCCACATTCAACACTCTTGGCATCAGCAGGAAAATCTGTTGTCAGGGACCTCTTTATAGTACTGAAAAGCAATGATGTCAGTCTAGAGACTCAGTTGCACCTGATCCAGGCCATGGTCTTCACAATTACTTGCTATGCATCAGAGAGCTGGGCAATGACTAAGGATGACAGAAGAAGAATTGATGCCTTTGAGTTGTGGTGCTGGAGAAGAGTCTTGAACATACCATGGACCACCAAGTAAATAGATCTGTCTTGGAGAGAGTGAAATCAAGTTTCTCCTTGGAGGGAAGGATTTTGAAGCTGTGTCTTACATACTTTCAGCACATGGCCAGAGGGACAAGTCTTTGTAGATAGACATCATGCTAGGAAGCATGGAGAGACAGCCCAAGAGAGGAAAACCATGGATAAAATGGATTTATACAGTAATGGGGACAATGGGGTCCATTTGTCAGTGAGACTGACAAACTGAATCAGTAAGACTGGCTCAGGACAGGGCAGGCTTCAGAGCTGCTGGGTTGTTATTAGTCGCAGAAGACTAGACAGCACATAACAACAACTGAAAAGAATTAAAATTCTAGAATGTTGTACATAGGCTAAGCAGCAGTTGTTTGAGCAGAGCACAAGGGTACTACTGTTGTTATGTGCCGTTGAGTCGCTTGCGACTCATAGTGACCCTCTGTACTACAGCCCTAAACCCTGCTCTATCCTGTGCCAATTGCACTGTCTCTGACACTCCCATCCCAATTATCCCAGTCACTGAATCAATCCACCTCGTAGAGGGTCTTCCCCTCCTGCGCTGTCTCTCTACCTTCCCAAGCATGATGTCCCTCTCCAAGGACTGGTCTCTCCTTACAACATGGTTTAAAATCAGGAAAGATGTGCATGAGGGTTGTCTCTTCCATACCTAGTCAGTCTGTATTCTGAGCAAATAATAAAAAATCTGGAACTATATGAAAAATAAAAATTATACTAAGATTGGAGGAAGACTCACCAACAACCCATGATATGTAAGATAATAGCTTTGCTTGCAGAAAAACAGACCTGAAGCAATTACTGATGAAAAGCAAGGACTATGGCCTTCAGTGCACACTACACCTGAACATAAAACTAAAAACCTCCCAACTGGATCAACAAACAATATCATGAGAAATGAAGAAAAGATTGACGTTTTCGAGTATTTAATTTTAGTTGGCTCCACAATCAACAGTCAACACCCGTGGGAGTAATAGTCACAAAATCAAAGGGCATATTGAACAGGCAAGAGTACTGCTGAAGAACTCTTTAAGGTTCCAAAGAACAAGGATAAGAATATCTTTTTCAAAATTAAGCAGAATAAGGGGGGAGGTAATCATAGGGTTGCACAATTTGATGGGTGGAGGGAGGGTTGGGTAAAGAAAATGGGAAAGATCCTGTGTGAAAAACAATGTATATGAACTTTGTAAGAAAATCAGTATAAAATAAAAATTTTATTAAAAAAACACACACACAACTAGGTTGATCTTGAATCAAACCATGGTATTTTTCAATCACCTCATAAACATAGATTGTAAATAAGGAAGACTGAAGAAGATTTGATGCGTTTGAATTGCTGTTTTGCAGAAGAATATGGAATATCCCATAGACTACCAAAGAACAAAACAGATCTGCCTGAAAGAGATGAGATCGGAATACTCTTTAAAAGTGAGGATGGTGAGATTTCCTGTTTCAAGAGTAAACTTGGTAAAGTTGAAAGTTAGTGAAAAAGAGAAGACACCTCAAGGTGATAGATCAACACAGTGACTCCAATGGGGAGCTTAAGCTAAGTGGAGGTTGTGAAGGTGGTACGGAACTGGGTTGTATTTAGTTCTGTTGTACGTGAGACTGCCCTGAATCAGATCCAATGACAACAGTCATGAACAAGAAGTTTATAGGAACATATAGCATGTATAACTGTAGCATGATATACTGATAACCAAGTCTCCAGCAGTTCAAATCCACCAGCAACTCCAAGGGGGGGAAATGAGCTGTCTCCTTCCATTGAGTTTACAGCCTCACAAGCCTGATGGTGGATTGCTATGTGTCAGATTCACCAGTGAGTTTGAGTTTGAAGATCAGGGAAAGCTTCATAGAGGAGATGCTGTCTGAACTCAGCCTTGTTGTTATGGGTTGTCAAGTTAGAAGCAACCCAAAGCTGAGTCTCCAGAATGTTTTCAGAAACAGTAAATTGCACAGGAGGAGATTGCCCATCCTTCTCCCATGGACCAGCTGGTGGATTTGAAACATGTGCCTTTGGGATTACAACTTCTTACCACCAGGCCACCAGAACTCAGCCTTAAATGAGCCTATTTAAACAGAATGGGAAATGAGTTAGAGTGGAGATGAGAGGAGAGACAGAGAGCCAGCAGACATAAGAGTGTAGTCATGAGGTGAGTGCAAACTCAGAAGAATGGAGATCCTAGATTTTAAAAAACCAAAAGCATTTTCAAGGAATGAACAGCCAATAGTGCTGACTGCCACCAGGAGGCCAGTGTGAAGAGCTGAGCTATAGTGTTCAGGGGAAAATTGGTGGTCCTAGTAAGCCATATGAGGACAGAAGCCAGCTTGCAGAAAATGAAAATTAAGGAAATACTCAAGCATATCTTCTGTTTTAACCACTACGTTTTGCTATTAAAACATAGAGCATGATTCATTCATTTCACGCTGTACTTGGCTTACTTCTGCTTTGGCTTTTCCTTTGGTACAAATTCAAGTGTGCTTTTAAGGGAAAACACCAGCAAACATGTCCTACTTTTCCTTTCCCTTTAGACTTTATAAAGAATTCGCGTGGGAAATGGGTTTCGAAGAGTTCCATTTGCATCTGAGGCCTGTTCACTTTGAATTGGCATCACACAAGGAGAAGGTAGAAGAACCACCTCCTGTTTTCATTACATCTCTGTTGGAGGACAGTGATCGGGTGGACAGGTGAGCCTTGAGAGCATTGTTCCAAGGGAATAAGATCACTCAAGTCGAAGCTTTTTATTCTAGACAGTCTTTTATCACCTCCTGTGCTATTAACTGCCTCTGAAATCCCACCAGAGGATTATCTATGAGTTGATTCTGACTCAACAGTACACAATAAGAACAATAACAAGTCTTTTATTAAGATGTAAACAGGACCAAGCAAATTGATTCAGAATAAGGGAACATCTGCTGTTTGAGACCTCTCCAAAGTACTGAAGAACAATGGTGTCTCTCTGGAGACTAAGGTGCACCTGATACAGGCCATAGTCTTTGCAATCACTTGTTATGCATCAGAGATTGGGACAGTGACTAAGGAGGATAGAAGGAGAATTGATGCCTTTGAGCTGTGGTGCTAGAGAAGAGTATTGAGGGTACCATGGACTGCTAGGAAAACAAACAGATTCGTCCTGGAAAGGGTTAAACTGGGTGGCTCCTTGGAGGCAAGAATTCTGAGGCTCGGTCTAACATACTTTGGACATGTTGTAAGGAGGGACTGGTCTTTGGAGAGGGACATCATGCTTGGTAGGGTGGAGGGACAGCGCAGGAGGGGAAGGCCCTCTATGAGGTGGATTGATTCAGCGACTGGGGTAATCAGGATGGGTGTGTTGGAGACAGTGCAATTGGCACAGGACAGAGCAGAATTTAGGGCTGTTGTACATAGGGTCGCTATGAGTCACACGTGACTCGACGGCACATAACAACAACAACAACATCAACTTGGGGCTGAAGGTATTCACTGAATCGTGGCCTGGACTTTCATTTATAAGCTGTGGGGCACTGTTGCCAGTGAGGTTACTTTACCAAGCAAGGTTCATAATTGGGAAACGTACACAACTCCAAACTGGAAGCTGGAACGATTAGTTCTGGAGTTGCTGCTACTTGGTGGTCAGAGCTATGACTCATGGAATCATTAAGGACACACCTATGCGAGTTTCCTGGTTCTCCATTTTAACCCCTCCCTACTGGCTGTAATAACCTACTTTCAGCTGCACTTTGCTTAAAAGCAAAGCCATATAGCTGATATGATGGTCATAAAGAAAACTCAAATGGTGTCTTGAGGCTTTGTCAAGAATCAGAATATAGCTTTGCGACAGACCTCAGTCTTCGATAGATCAAATGTGGCAGATTTTAAATATTTCAATAGAGAGCCAAGGTAAAAATCATGTAGTGGCCAAATGAATAGCTTGTGAAAAATCATTTCTATCACCATTGGCCAGGCTTTAGAAAAGACATCAGGCTGGGGAAAGTGGAGGGTCAGAGAAAGAGAGGAGAACCCTTAACAAGATGGATTGACACAGTGACTAGTAATGAGCTCACGCATGTCGGAGATTGTAAGAATCGTGCAAGGTTCTAATCTGTTGTCCTGGCTGACTCTGAGTGGTAATTGACTTAACAGTTTCTAACAATAACAGCAACAATATTATATGCAACATGCAACAATTTACAATGGCACTGAATATGCAAATGCAATTAATTACATTTCTAATTTCTCCCCCCCACCCCACAATCTATCTGCCATAATATCAAGTTTTTTCTTTTTTAAAAATAGAGGGGAGAGGAATAAATTCTCAGTCAAGGGAGGTACTGGATTTAGGAATGGAAGTGTTTTTGAGTACCATAGTGTCAGAACTGATCCATAGCAGGTTTTTAGAGGCAGTTAATGTCTCAGGAAGAGATTGGCCATCCTTTTCCCATGAAGTGGCTGGTGGTAGCCTGGAAACATTTGCCTTTGGGATTGCAGCACAATTTCTTACCACTAGGCCACAAGTGCTCCCTAGGGAGTGGAAGTAAGATGATATTATTTGCTTAGCTATTGCTTCTGGGTGGAGAGAGGTATGACAGTTGATCTGACTGGACAAGAACCATGGCCCATATCTTTTCTCAGTTTGACTTGTAAACACAAACAAGTGAAATCAACCATGTGATAATTGTATCTCAGCCAGCTTAGTATATTAGTAACAGGAGGCAAACATGAAACTTCTTCTTGGGTTCTATAGATTCAGCTCATTGCCTGAAAGAGCAAAGCCAATGGTCTAGTGGTAAGAAGCTGTGCTGCAATCTCAAAGGTACACAGTTCAAATCTACCAGCCACTCTGGGGAGAAGGATAGTCACTCTTCTGTGTGATTTTATTATTATGTGCTGTCGAGTCACTTGAGACCTATAGTGGCCCTCTATGTACTGCAACTCTGAACCCTTCCCTATCCTGAGCCAGTCTGATTAAATCAGACACACCAACCCCCATTTCCCCAGCTACTCTATCAATCTATCTCATCCAGAATCGTCTTCTCCTGCACTGTACCTCCCTTCTGATCAGGATGTTCTTCAAGGACTTGTCCCTCCTGACAATATGGACAAAGTATGTGAGACAGAGCTTCAAAATCCTTGCCTCCAAGGAGAAACTTAGTTTCACCCTCTCCAAGACAGACCTTTTTGTTTTCTTGGCAGCCCATGGTATGTTCAAGATGCTTCTCTAGCACCACAACTTGAAGGCAAAGATTTTTCTTCTGTCATCCTTAGTCATTGTCTAGTTCTCTGAAGCATAACAAGTAATTAAGAAGATCATGGCCTGGATTAGGCATACCTTAGTCCCTAGACTGACATTATTGCCTTCCAGTACTCTGGAGAGGTCCCTGACAGCAGATTTTTCCCAATGCAATTTGTCTTTTGATTTCCTGATTGCTGCTGTTAAGAGACTATGGAGCCGCGCAAGCTGTAGTTGAGCTTCTGTCCATCTTGACAACTACATTCCTTGACCTTCAGCAAGCTCTTCAGGTCTTCTTCAGTTTCAGCAAGCAAGGTTGTGTCATGTGCATATCCTAGGTTGTTAATGAGTCTTCCTCCAACCTTGATGCCACATTCCTCCTCATAAAGCCCTGCTCTCCAAATAATCTGTTCTGCATACAGATTTAAAAGGTATGGAGACAGGATGCATCCCTAACACACTTCTTTCCTGATTTTGAACCATGCACAATATCCTTGCTCTGTTCTGAGGACTGCTTCCTGGTCCAAGTATAAGTTTCGTGTAAGTATAATCAAGTGTTCTGGGTTGATTTTAAAGCCTCTGAAAACCACTGAAGGGTCAGTTCGTCTGTATGGTATACAATATCAGTAACAGATCATGAATATACTTAAGAGTTATATGCCTTCAAGAAAAGGCATCTTTCTTCCCACCACATGGAATCAAGCATTAATGCATGCCTAAGAGACTTCTTGAAATCTCTTCTTTCCTTTCCTGCTAGTCCGCCCTTCTTTCCAGTGATCCCAGCTCCATCTCATACTTGAAGATGATACATCCTGGTAAGGCAGAGGTGAGGAAGAGAAAGTCCCTTTTCCTTGCGACTATGGATCACTTTCCAAAGCTGGAAGGAAGCTCTAGTGGCCTGGTCTGTGGGGAGTTGTGCTGCTAAGTCACAGCGAGACTTCCTTGGTAGTTCAGAGCCATCAATAGCTCTGTGGAGAAAGACGAGCAGCCTCTGAAAACCCACTGGAGGATCAGTTATTAGTCAGTTGCAACTAGAGAGCAGTATATTTGGTTTGTATTTAGTAATTTGGTTTGAGAAACAAAAGTTATACAAGTGTTCAGGTCTTTTGTTCATAGGTTTCTATGGGTTGTCTACGACTTGACAGCACTTAACAACAAAAACATTTTTGTTGTTGTTTCAATCTTTTTTCCCCCCTCAAGGCAGTGTTAATATGCTAAAGTACCCTCATCCTCAAGAGAACGGACTGAGATGAAGGAAGTTAGGATGACCTATCCCAGAGTTCTCGGTCTTAACACTATTAGTATTTGGACCCAATAATACTCTTTGATGGGTCTTGTCCTGTGCATTATAAAGATTAGCAGTATCCTTGGCCTTTAGCCACTAGAGTTTCACAGTATCCTTTTCTTCTGCTTTTGTCAATCCATAATGTTTACAGACATTATTGCCAAATGTTTCCTAGAGGCAGTCTCTCATGTTCTTCCAGTCTGACATATTAGCTAAACCAAAAGGTGAATTAATGGTAAGGACACAGGTATCTCACAGAAGCACTGACACAGATCAGATGTGTGAACCCTCAGATGAGGCCACACCTCCAACCAGCACAACTGAGAAAGCCTTTTGGAGACAAGATGTTCTCTGACTTTTCAAGGTCCCTGCCAGAGTTGGCGTCTATACCACTGTGAAATAAGCACATTTCTGTTCAGCCTGAATCGACCTGTCAGAAAGCACAAATTGTCTGAAAGTGCTGAGGTCTAGTCAAGCTGGGATTTGTCTTCCCAATGATGATTCAGGAATGCTGCAAGATCCTGGGGAGCCTTTTGAATTATCAGGAATATTAATTTCCTTTGTCACCCTAACAAATTACCTAACAAGGGCTTAAAAGAATAGAAATGCGTTCTCTCCCAGTTCTAGATTGCCAGAAATTCAAAATCATTGTATCCACTTCGTTATGCTTCTTCCAAAACTTCTGGGAAAATACCTTTCCTTTCCTTTTCCCACTTCTGGTAGTCCTAGTATTCCTTGGTTTGCAGCACCATAACTCTAATCTCTGTCTCCATTTTTACATCCAGCCTTCTCTCTCACATGGCAACATCATGGAGTCTCCTATGTCTGAGCATGCCTCTTCTCTTCTTAGAAGGACATCTGTCATACTGGAATTGAATGACAATACAAAGAACTCATTTTGGCCTTGTCTTCGGCTAAGTGTTGTTAAGTGTCATCAAGTCAGGCCTGACTCATGGTGACCCCATCTGCAACAGAACAAAGTGCTGCCTCATGTTGTACCATCCTCATGACCGACCAACCTGGGTCCCAGGCATCACACTTCCCTTGCACCCTCATGATTATGCCTGAGCCCATCGTTGCCATCACTTTGTCAGTCCATCTCACTGAGGGTTTTCCTCTTTTTCTCTGACCCTCTATTTATTTAACCAAGCATGAAAGATAGCCCTTGGAATTGGGTAGTCAGTGAAGTATCT